AGTTTTCAGACAAGTCATAACAAATAACTTTATGATATACAGAGAGACTGTAATAATAGCGGAGAGCTTCTGAAGTCCTCTGTCTTGCAGCTGATTACGATTAGATGCAAGTATTGTAATTAGCAAAATTCATGTACTGTGTATAGTAATATTGGCTGAGAAGCTATGAGACAAAAGTATTTAGAAATTTTACTGATCATCTATTTCTAAATTTTTCTCACTTTCCAAAAACTGAATCCAAATTACTCAGGAGTAACTGCAAAAGCATCTCAGTAAAAACATGGGCTTAAGTCACAAAAGCTGAAGTAGCTCTAATGCCATTTAGAGTATTTACAAGGAAATTCTCTAATGCAGGGAGATACTAAGTTCTGTTCCCTTTTTTTTTCTATTTTGATCTTCTCTGCAGTGGAGAAATTTACCAAGTTAAATAGTATTTTTATATCCACGGATAATTTGCAATTTACCTTACATTTAGCTGATACCTATCCTGGGATACCACTGTCAGTGGACTGTTCTTTGCTTGGGCTATTGACAGTTTTAATTTTTGCTTCCACTGTGAGTGAGGAAGACTGGATGAACGATTTCAGAGAGTGCTGCTGTTACGCCACCGTGTGTGGCTGAGCACCTGAAATACCTGCATAGCACACTGCTTCTGGGTATGAGAAAGTCATGTGCAGGTACCTAAATGGAAAGCATTGCAACTTTATGTTTTAAAATAGTTTTACTGTGAGTGGGACAGGATTTCCTGAAACAATTCTATAAGAGTAAGAGGGGGGCAGGTGTTGATGGGGGGGTTATCTGTGCATAAATCAATTCACTGCATGACTCAACAGCAAATAGTTAAGTCCTGGTGTTTTCTTCATAAATAGTTTCTCTGCATTCATATGGATTTGATGACATTATTATGAAAAAAAAAAATTAGAGTAGTACAGGTAGTTGAAACAGTTGCCGTCTTTCAGGTGGAAATTCCTAATTTACCAGCAGAAACTCAGTAGTTGCCGATGTGTGTGATCCTTGTGTCTGGCAAAATCAAAATAGGCTAATATCAAACACCTTCAGTGGTTTAAAGTTATTTGTTTTACTTCCAGCAGATAGGAAGCTGGCTTAGGGAAGACTAAACCAGGTCAATTTACAAGGGAGCTATTGAGATGAAGATATCTATTGATAGGTTTTCCAGCTCAGTCTTATGACTGAGCCCATTTACTGTGTTAATTATTGACCATCGACTAGGAACTATGTGTATGTTTATGAAATTTGTAGAATGTGAAAAGTTGGTAGTTACTGTAAAAAAAAAAAAAAAAAAAAAAAAAAGGAAGGTGTAGTTGAATGGTACAGAATTCGATCATCAGGCAAGAATTAGATGATCTTGTCAATTTTGATGATAGAAACACAATCAAATATAATAATCTCCTGTAATCCACATTTAGGGATTGGCTGTATTGACCTTCCTCAGTAGAAAGAAAAATGGTTCGTTTTCCAGAATCATCTAACAATTCACCTAGCAAAAGTACCCTGTGTAGCCATATTTTTTTTCTTTTGTCTTCCTGTGGATTATTATAGTTGTGGCTTTTCATCTTTTATTCCCAAATGTATCACAAGTTTTGTTTGTCCCGTGGTAGGAGAGGTTAGTAGAAGATCTTCTGATCTTCCTTGTTTTCCATTTTGCCAGTGATTGAAGAATAGATGTAACTTGAGTGACAGACTACAGCCTAATAGTCTTATGCACCATTCCAGCTCCGCTGACTTATGTTGAGTGTTGTAGGAAAGCTTTTGACTATATTGTCTATAAAACCAAAATCTGTATAAAAGAATAACTACTTATTCTCATATTCATAAATAAAAGGGGATTTTTTAGAGTGGCAATATTTTTCTTCATTGAAAAAAAAACCAAAATACTGTGTTGAATTAAATGATTGTGAATTATAGTACAAATTAATTTGATACCAATAAAATACATGTTTTCAAGTTTCTCATATCCTATTAAATTTCTGTCAAGATTGTTGACATAGTTACTTTAAAAGTTACTGATATAATGGACATTTGTCCTTTGTACTTAATGTCATACTTGTCATATTGTGCTACGTGAAGAGTAATTGTCTAAATTGCTAAAAATAATAATTTTTTTAAAAGTAGAGATAAAACTTTTGGGGAAGAGACCCATTGTAAGTACTGGCTTATATTTTTATGTTATTTGATGTTTACTATATATACCTAGAAATCTTGTACAATTTTATAAATCAGTTCAAGAAAATAGGACTAAAATTTCTGTTCTGTTCCATTACCTTAGCCTGACAGTGCACAAAGCCTTTACGATGACTTCCATTTTTTAAATTTCCACTTCAAACCACTTTTACCAAGTTCTTCTCCAACAATATTTTTTTTAAACCATATAAAAATGTTCTGTGGATAAGAGGTAACGGGTGTTATTAAAACACTAATTGACTGAGGCTATCTTGATAGGTAATGCTTACTCTTTGCCTTAAGTTCTATTAAGAAATCTGTCAAATAATTTCTTTACAATTGTAACACTTACTGAGTTTGAATGAAACCTTACAAACAGAAAACCATGTTCCCTTCCCAACTCTTAATATAGGCTGCACATTCTAATTCAATGAATGAGATTTATTTACATATATAATTATATAACTATTTAATTTTATAATTTAGTTTGATTTTATAAATATTTATATTTGTTATAGTATATTTATATGCACTATATTTATATATGCAAATATATAATGTAAGGTATATTATACTTTATTTGTATGTATTTTGTGTATTATTTCTATAATATATGTATCAATTTTGTATTTACATTTATAAAAACAAAAAGTAATGTGATCTCAATGCTGTACTATGAAATTGTTTGGAAAATTCACTGCATATGAATATAAAATGCTCCAGGGGAAATATGAAAGGAGCTTATTGATAATTTTTTTGACAATATGTTTTTTCAGATTTTTCAATCCCCCACTTTCTTGGGAAGTTATACTTTTTTGATGAAGATTAAATATACAGTCAAAAGAAAAAGAATGTTTGATAGACATATGGTGAGGAAGCTTGTTTATAAAAAGGGAGATAGAGGTTTAGGTCTATGTTTTGCCTATCTGGACTAATGCTAGCATCAACCCTGCACTTTTAGTTTTCATTTTTTGTTTGTTTGTTTTTTCCAGACTTTCTTTTGACACCTGTTACATGTGGTAGAAATACTGAAATATTTATAGAAGTTAGTACCCTGCCATCACCTCTGGGCTATAATTTGGTTTTAAATTAATCTGAAATACCATTATTTCAGATTTGGTATTCTGAAATCTGAATTTCAGATTGGGTCAAAGTGGGATAGCTGGTGATGGAAGGCATTTGTCTCTTTGTCATGTCTCATGAAGTGACAGAGATGCCCACCTGTGGGCCAGGGCGTATCTCAGTACCACTCTTACAGTGGTAGGACGTGAATTCCAGCAGAGGCTCTTTCAGTACATGTGTTTATTAGATGTGTTCCCCAGGTGTACCCAGTCAGGTTTGGCACATGATGTTTTGGATCAGAAGAGATCCTATAGCACTTGTCCTGCGGATGTATGAAGTAGAATGTTAGAGGCGAGAAGGGCAAAGCAGGGTTTAATACAGAATGAGTAAACATCCTTCAGACATTGTGCTTGACACTTGACAAGGACTAAGAGCTCTTCTGAGCAGAGAAAATTAGAGGGAGTGGGACAATGACGTGTTAGGCTTAATTCTGTGTAGCTTTGCTAACCCTGAAATCTAGGTCTGAAACTCATAGAACAAGAAGTTGTCTGTTGTCCTCACCATCTTATATAACATTTTTTTGACCACTGTGATTTCCATTTTCTTTTCCCATGCTCTTTTTTTTTTTTCCTCTGTAGTTTTTCATGTGTTCTTGGTTTTATCAAGAGGCCTAAAAGAATTTTTAAAACTTTCTCGGGACAGGAACGCCATTCTCTGTGCATTAGAGTTTCATATGGAAAATAGCTTGAATTAAACACTTGCAAGTTATTGTGTATATTTATTTGTATTTAAGAATTTGGGTATAATGTACTAATTTATTTAGGAGATTGCAAACTGGAAATCAGACCTGGTCACTAGCATATAGAACATGCATTAAGATGTCCGTGACACTAATGAATAGGATATATGTGAGTGTACACAATTCAGAAAAATTACTAGAAGGTTTTTGTCTAGTCAGAATTTATGTGTACAGACAAATTTCCATAGGTGTCAAAAGCTGTCCTGAAAATATGCTTTAAAAATGTAAATATTGCAACTTAGAATTGTTTTAATATATCCTCACTTTTCAACACTATGGAACATTGGTAATGAATGAAGTGGATAATGAGGTTGTGATTCTGTCCAGCACTCAATGGATATGGAAGCAGAAATAGCCAAGCAAATATTCGCAGAGATATTTCACTTTAAAAATATGGTTTGTAGGATGATGGAATGAGTGCGTTCAATCTGATGCTCACTCATTTTGTATTAAACCATGGTGCAATGTTGTTTTTATCAACCACAAAATGCTCAATTTACTATGTATTAGTGTACTATCAGAAATATTCTGGTTCCATATGCTTTTATAGCCAGCACCTCACAAGGAAATGTGGCTAATACATTTAGCCACCTTACACTTTTCTGTCTTGAGAGACTACATATCCATTTATAACTAGGTAAACAGAGAATGTTTTCTGACAATACTTTCAAACAAGATTTGAACAGAGACAAAGATTTGTATTAGCCATCAGGTCCAAGCTATTTCTAGTATTAGTGTACCATAATAACCCTTGAATTAGCAATTACATATTAAATTTTTCAGATAATACAATGTTGGGTTGTGTTTGTCTAAAAATTGAATGCATGAGCAGAGGTGATTATTTCAACTGTTCACTTACCATTTACTACTAAATGAAACGTCTTAAGCCATAAAATGTTTGCATAATGCACAATGCATTTATGATAATTAAATAGATATCTTCATTTACTGTTTTTAGGTTAAATTTTTTCCGGGATGTTCCTGAGTTCAGAGTACTAGCATGTGGTGGAGATGGAACAGTAGGCTGGATTTTGGATTGCATAGGTAATCAATAGTGTTTATATAGTTTTGCTTGACTCATGTTTTCCAGTGTGCTGCTCTTCCCTGCATACTGAAGTATGGATACAGCTATTTCAGACAAGACCTTGTTCACTGAAAGTTTTGAAATTTATTAGTTTGGGACATGATTATTTTTAAGGGTATTCAAATTGCAAAGGATATTCAAAATCCCTAGACAAGTCCAGTGTTTGTAGTCCTCTGGATTTCCAGAAAGCAAGAAATTTGAATCAATCTATTTTAATTTCAGTTCAAAGTCTATTCCCCAAACTGAATCAAATCTAAGTTGAGACCATTTACCTTAGCTCATTTGCTTTTTCAGTTACCAAATTTTTGTTTATGCTCCATTATGCCATAATGGAGATAACGGAATAACAGTCCTTTGGAAAGGACTGTTCTGACAGCTGTGTAGATACCTGTGCAGCAAGGTACATGATTTCAGTTTTGGAGTTTTTGACAATGGAAATCAGGAAGATGAAGAGAGAGCAAAAGACCCAACTGAAAGTTTGGATAGAGGGTTTAAAATGGTGTGCTTTGTGGGAGGTGTGGACCAGAAAACCTTATAACGTTTAGTGAAAAGTAAAAATGATGTCATGGAGGAATGGATGATAGTAAAGGCATATGTCTTGGTTTGAAAAAAAAAAAAAAATCGCGGATACAAGCTATTGATTGTAAGTCTCAAATAGCTTTCAGAATCATGTATCAATATACGTAAATAACAAGTGTATTACCTAAACTTGGAAGGGGTGAAGTTTTGCAGCTGTTAATTGTGTCATCACTTTTTCCCATGAGGCCTAAAATGCCATGCAGTTACTTTCTCTTTCAGTGGCATTATTTGAAAAAAAGACTACATTTTATCTCACTAAAATACTGTCTTCTGCAGGAAATTTTGTGGTACAGAACTAAGAAATAATTTGAAGAATCTGGGATCCATTTGTTTCATAGATGCAGGAAAGAGTTTTTTGAATGTTGTCTTTTAGCAAACAAAGCCCTTTGGCACAAGTAATGCATATAAAGTTTAAGAAATCACCTGTTTTGAGGAACAGACACTTTCTAGTTGGATCTTTTCTTCCCTGATCTCCTGATATACAAAGAATCTTAGCTGAGAGCAAAGCAAGAAGAAAAAAAAAAAAAAAAAAAGAAACAAACCACATAGGGAAAAAAAACCACCACCAAACTTTTTTCTCCTCAATTTGAGACTTTTAAACTTCTTTTTTAATTATTCTATTAAACGTTAAGTTCCCTTCAAGATTTTCAAACACTGGTATTGTAAATGCTAAGTCTTCATAGAGAACTGAAGAAACAAGTTGATAAATAACAAGATGTCCCTGCCATATCCATTGGATATATGAACTGCTGATAATTGCTGATAATTGTGCGTAATTCTATAAACAAAATAGTTGATAACTATTCAAATATAACTTTTAAACTAGACATGCTACTCATTCCAGTTAAATGGGGAATTTGACAAATTATATATCTGAAATATTATATCTGGGGGATATCTGCCCCAATTCCAGCTTTCAGAAAGTCTGTATTTCTTGACAAGAAAATTCCCATTGGATTTTGAACAGAGATCCTTTGGCTTGAAATGCTAGAAAAGTACTGGTAAAGAGTCAAAAGACATTGTAACTTCATACATTTCGAAATATTACTTGTTAAATAAAAAAAAAATTGACTTAGAGACTTGATCAGATAGATCAATGCTCATTTTGAATAGCAGGTTTAATTCCTGATGGGCAGCATAATCTCATACACAAAACACGCATCAGTCTTTCAAACAAAACGAACAAAACCTAGCACAGTTACTGTATCAGTACCATACAATTGATTTTTTTTTTTTCTTCCTTAGTTACGTTTTCCTTCTTTATTCACAGAGAAAGCAAACTTGATTAAGCATCCTCCAGTTGCTATCCTGCCTCTTGGGACTGGCAATGATTTAGCAAGGTGTCTGAGATGGGGAGGAGGTAAACACAAATTAAAATACAATGCATTATGTACTTAAAAGGAAAAAAGATAACTTTTGTATCAAAGTCTACTCTTAACATTTGGATTTTTTTTTTATGATGTATGTAAAGAACCATTATCACCTTTCCTCTTTTTGGAATTAGCTGTCTGTAAATGTAATATGAACTATTTTATAGATATTAAAGGTCATAATCACTGTTCATATCTTGTTCGTAGCTTCTGCTGACACCAAAAAGGCTCCAAGGTGCAATGAGAGTTGTATTTGGCTATTTGGTTGGCTTTTTACCATCTGTATTGCAGTTATTTCTTTGATCAATACCTTATAAAGAGAGTATTCTTAAATGGATTTTAATTGGGGCTGTTCTGAAAGGGTTACTGAAAACAACTAATAATGGGTTCAGAGTGGTTTCATCTTTTTTAATATTCATAAATACTAAATGAAAAATGCATCTTGGCCTTTGATCCACTCCCCTTCTCTTCTCCTACAGACGATTCCAGGCAATAAATGCTGTGGTGCTATTTATCAGGAAATGAGGAGGCAAAGAATGCTGAAAGGAGAATATGCATGAAGTCAAACCTTTAACACCCTTTGCATCCTTTCCTGGATGTATGGAGCCTTACTCTCAGCTCCTCCAATAACTTCTTTTTCATTTGGGATTTGCATTACAGGATAACTTGAAGGAGACACAAAGAAGAAAGTCTTAGGCAAGACTCAGGCCCTGGTGAAAACATGTCAGTTTATGGGCACTCGGCCAGTTCTAATTCAGGTCTCTGTCGTTTTGGTTGAGGTGTTGTGTATTTGGAACTTGGCTGTTTATTTGGAACTTCTCAGCCTTTGTAGATCTCTCTGCCTTATTCTATCTCGTCATAGCAAGTTTGCTTTCCAAATGTCTGCCTTGTTACCAGATAGTCTGTAGGAAATTCTCAGCAGTTTCAGTGCTATAGAACTTCTTTGTTAACTCTAATGTTCTCTTAAAATGTTTGAGGACCTCCTTTATTTTCTCTGTCATGACTGATGATTGTTTATTCACATAGTCTTAGGAAAGAAAAGAAGAAAAAACAACCCAAAACCAAATCAAATCAGCCTTGCTTCACTTTCTGAACAGTTCATAGAGTCGAGTCATAGAATAATTCAGGTTGGAAGGAGTCCCAGGAAGTTGCTAGTCCAATCTCCTGTTCTAAGCAGGGTCATCTATGAGAGCATTTGATTACATTAGGACCTGTCCATTCACTTCTATTAATTTACCTTCAGTTTTGCGTGATTCCATCTGGACTAAAGTAGAAAAAGACAGAATGAAAACATTCTGGCTTTCATCATTCTTTGCCCAGTTGCTTTGTAGTAGACAATGCCATGACACAGATTTTCTGGAACTTCATAGATGGGAGAGGAGACAGGGCTTCCAGAAACTAAACTGCTGGTGGGTGATCTCGAGGATGCAGGCAAATGGATTTGTGCATGCTGCTGTTATGCGGTGGTTGACAGTAACTAACAAAAACATACTATACAACCATATAGATCAGAAATGGGTTTTGAGCAGGGAGGCTTTGAAATGCTTTGCTTTCTAAAACTGTTAATGACCCAGGAAGCACATATTGCTTTTCATTGCAATATGAATTTTTTTTTCTGATTTGAAGAAGGAATGAATCCACAGCTCTTAATTATCTATGACAAAGTCATTTAGTCTGAATAGTGTTCAGAGTTGATAATGTCACTTAGTAAAATCCCAACATTTTTTATGCATGCACATACACACACTGTATGTTGTTTACACACTCCTGAGTATACACAAGTTTTCTACAGAGTTTATTATACAGTGTGGTGAACTACTATTACTAGTAAATTGCCTAAAGACATGTGAGTGCTTCTTGGTGAGTAAGACCTCTTTGCAGAGCAGGATGAGGCTCATGAAGAAATTGTTAAAAGATGGAAAAATGTTAATTCTGCTGCTAAGTCATCAAATTTTGCATTTGTTATGGTAAACCGCGTTGAAACAAATGACAAAAAATAGTAGACAGGTTTTAAACTTTCAGTATCTTGTCAGTCTTTAATCAGACAAATCTACTGTATGTCTTTTTCCATAAATTTTGAAATCAAAGGAATTTAAATATTAAGATTAATAGCAAGAACATTTTGCAACGTATAACCTTAGCTTTTTGGATAACTGCTATAATAATTTGGAAAATTCATGGGATTGGCAAGTTTTGAAGATCAGATTACTATCTCCAGTATAAATCTGATGATTTGTCAAATCTGTAGAATTAATCTAAGTTTACATTAATTTAGCTGAGTGCAGAAATTAGTTTCGTATTTGTACTCCGTTTAATGACAGATGCTGGAAAATTGTCAATACCTCAAACACAGTCCTTCTTTTCAGGTCTTACGTGCATAGTTCTCATTTTTCTAGTCAACTAGAGAAAGAAAGAAAATTGAATGAAACTTTATTATGTTTGATTAAATAACCGTTTTTATGTTTTGCTAGGTTATGAAGGTGAGAATTTGATGAAGATCTTAAAAGACATTGAGAACAGCTCAGAGATTTTGCTGGACAGGTGGAAATTTGAAGTAATACCCAATGATAAAGATGAGAAAGGAGACCCAGTGCCTTACAACATCATCAATAACTACTTTTCTATTGGCGTGGTAAGACTTATGCTTACCCTTAAGTGATTTTGTTTTTCTGTTTTGAATAAATATTTGCATTGCATGTCTTCAGGTGAAGAATTGTTGGCTACAGATCATTTATAATATTATTTTGCTAGTGAAATGAATACATAGATGACTGACAGCAATTTACATAAATTTACTTCCACACATTCAAACCAGAATTATTTTTCAGGACCTTCTACCTTCCCATCTATAAAGAAGATATTTGTGTTGTTCCTAATGGTTTATGAGCAGCCATAGCACTAAATTTAGATTGTCATTATGAAGGTCCTATAAAAATACAGAGAAAAACTAGTCACTTAATAAGAACTCAAAGTAACCTTTTCCTTTATTATTCACATAATCGGAACTGTTTAAAAGAACAGTGGCATTCTTTATTTCTTCAGGGCAGTTTTAAATAATACAATATTAAAAACCCCCACAAGTACCTTCTTGGTTCTGTCTTATGGGGATATTCACAGTTAGAATGAATTATGAGGAAAAGGGGTTTAAGAAGCTCTTTGTGTCTTATGAACTGCATCTCTGACTTGTGCTTCTCTATGGTTTCCCATTATATCTGCTATCCACACAGTGTATATTAGGAGAATTAGGCATGTCCGGTCTGACTCTTCAGCCTTTTGCTTTGGATATTCTTTCAAACACAAGCAGAAGGGGGACTGTGATGAGGTCCAAATTTCACAGATTGAATAGTTCATCAATAAGATTTTTAACTCAGACACAAATGAAGTCTAATTAACTTGGGAACATGCCCTCCAATAGCTAGCACTGGCTGTTCTGAAATCAGCTTGTTCCACATACATTACATGAATCTGTATATTATTTTTTTATAAAAATCAAAATCCACTTTTACAGGGTATCTAATTCTGCAATCTAGTATTTCAAAATGCTACAGAAAAGTGTTCTGATAGGAAGTACTACATACTTAAATTGTAAACCCAAGGAAAATAAGGATGTGTGCTTAGTTTATTTGATCGCTGTGCTACAGCATTAACAATTTTCTGCCCCAACTGTAAGTGGTTGATGAAATTTTTACACATTAATTGTAGTTCTGTAATTTTGGTATAGTGTCTCTCACCAACATGCAGAGACAGTCTATTCCTTAAAAACATTCCTTGGCTTCCTGTAGTGTTTGTAGTCCTAAATGCTGAAAAAAACATCAGGTCTCCCCAAGGTTAAGATATTTAAGTAATAAGAAAATATTGTTGAGGTTTTTGGCTTGTATAGTTTGGATTTTAGCCTTTGTTCAAAGCAAGTGCAGAGAACAACTAGATGAAACAGAAATAACAGAAATTAGTATATATAAGTACATAAATGCAAAGTATATGCACCAAAGCCAATACAAAATTAAGTTCATAAATAGGAGAGAGAGTGCAAAGGAAAATGTTTTGTTACAGGAGAAAAATACCATGATAAAAGAAAATTCCCAGCAAGGGGGGACATGTTCAGTGACTTTGTCAAAGGGGAATGTTGATGCTAAAGCTCACAGATGAAGAAAGAAAATAAATGTGTGATACTAAGGAAGCAAGCAAGAAGTGAGAAAGAGGAGGGATGAGATTTTACACCTATATATTAATACAGTGCAATTTAAATGGTTTCTAAAATGTAGAGTACCACCACATGTAAAGACACAGCACAGAAACAGGAAATTGAATGCCAAGTAGATACTGGGACATCTGTGAATGTGCTAGGCTTCAAAGAATCCTTTAGCATTTTTCAAGGGAAGAAAACAGAATTGCATTCACAAAAAAAGTTACTGAAAGTAACTGAAATTATACAGTGGCAAGATCATAATACTATTGAGGATAATGTAAGTTACTTGTAGAATACTACAGGTACATAGCAGGCTCTATACACTAGGCTCCTTGGACAGAAGACTCAATTTTCAGTTAAAAACTTTGAACTCATTAATTTAATAACACAAAACTTACGATTCTTCACATAATAGAAATGTAAGCACCAGAAAATTGTACCAGCAATGGACAATACAATAAGTTGCATTGAGAAAAGCTTCTAAAATGGTAACATTGCATTTTTGAAGGAGTAAGATCTGCCAAGTTTGTCATATGTGGAAGTAGATAAAATGCCTGCTACTCAATTTCATTGGTTTGAATAAGACAAAGCAAATGGAGAAAATCTGAAATTGGATTTTAGACTTGCTAAAATGTGTAATTCATATATTAGGTAGCATTCCTAATAACTCTTAATAACTCTTGAAAAGCCAGGCAAAATGTTTGTCTATGTAAATAAAATACTCAAACTTGGTTGCAACTAAAGTAAACCTAATTTCATAAAAGCAAAATTGTTTTCAGTACTTGGTGCCCAATACAAACTTTACCAAGTACTGAATTGGGAAAGCAACGGTCTACCATGTTGCACACCACTGCATAGCTACTGATACCCAAGAACATAACTGGACTGAAGCCTATAGCAAAAAAACACTAGTGCCACCTACAAGGTTATATTAAGAGAAACCAAAAGGATTGATATCATAGATGGTGTTATTCGTAGAACCACAGAAAATTGAGTCATCTATCAATTCCTCTCCCTAAGATAGCATCAGTGACACACTTGCCTAATTCCTGACAGATGTTTATCCAATTTGTCTCCAGAAATTCCCAATAAAGGAAGTTTGCCCGTGATGACCTACTGTATTACTTTGTTGTCCTTACTCTGCAATGTCTTTGTCATATCTAACCTGAATAGTCTTGGTGCAGGCTGGATCCAGGTTATTTTGTCCTGTGCAGAGTGGAGAAAGAAAAAAAATTATTCCATTCCTCTGTTAAACTACTTATTATCTACCAGAAAGTGTGTCAGATCACCCCTTAGTCTTGTGTTCTATAGCCTTTCTATTTCCAATTTCTTCAACCTCACAGACAATCTTTTCTAGACATCTGATCATATGTGTTGCTTTTATCTGTGTTCAAAGAAAACATGAGAATTCAATCCAGTTACTCCCTTTGGCCCATATCTCTCTGGAAACATAGTGTTTCCAATTAGGCACAATGCTGCAGTTGGTGTCTTATCAGCACTGAGTGGAAAAAAGGAATTAACTCATGTCTTGCAGAGGATATCTTTATTAAGAAAAATTAGCCTTCTTAATATTGGCATGAATTTCTTTATTCATATTTGACTTGTGAGTCATAGTTGATTTCAGATACTATTCTGAAGAACCACTACTTCATATCTCATTTGGGTTTTTCATAGGTGTTTCTTCCTGCCTACATGCAGAAACTTACACTTAATTGAATTAAACCCTCTTTTCATTTTTACTGTTTCTCCGACGCACTGCAAAAACTAGTGGTAACCAACAACTTATTGCACATTGCCTCATAGATTCATGCCAAGTAATAAGCACAGTCTCTAATCTGATATGAATAGAACCTGCTGTATGAATTTTGTAATGGTATGGCGGAAATTTTATTTGACAACAAACAATCTCGATGTACACTTAGAAAGGCCAGGAGAGTAAAAGTCAATAAAATTGTACTTGACATGGGGTTCTCAGTGCTTTAGGACCAGAATTCAGGTTGGAAGAGATTGCAGGAGGTCATTAGTCCAATCTTCTAAGTAGGATCAGCTACGAGAGCAGATCACATTGCTCAGGGCTTTATCCAGTTGGGTTTTAAAAACCTCCAATGATGGAGATGGCACAATCTCTCTGGGCAACGTGCTCTGGTGCTTGAATGTGCTTATGATGAAGATGTTTTTCCTTATATCTCGTTTGAATCTGTCTTGTATCAACTTACATTCTTTGTCTCTCATGCTCCTATTATGTGCCACTGTGAAGAGCCTGGTTTTGCCATCTTGATAACTTCCTCTCAGGTACTTGCAGGCTGCTATTAGATCTCTCTGAAGCTTGTTAGGCAGGTCATCCAGTCAGTCTTTTTTTTTTTTTTTTTTTAACCTATTTTCCAGCAATCAAGACCATAATATCCCAAATCTGATACAAGAATGCTGGGGTAGACAGTGTTCAAAACCTCACTGAAATTGAGCATGACATCCATTGCTCCTTCCTCATCTACAAATCTAGTTTGTTTATCATAGGCAGCAATCAGTAGGCAATTTACCCATTGGAAGTAAAACGATGCACTGAGTTAAAAAGGAATGTTTTACAATAGCATGTGTACGTGAAAAGTTTGGTTGATATGGTCAAGCCAAAAAAGACATTTTTTCTACAGCAGTCTCAGAGCTCTGATATGTATGTAAGTATATGTACTATACTATGTATAAGTACAGGGAAGAAACTAAGAAATAGTGAGCTGTAGTAGCTGAATGAGTATGTGCAATGTTCAACTTGATGTAAGCACAAAGCGCGGAAGAACCATACAAAGCGTAAGCCAAGCTGTGGGTCAGTTTCAAAGCAGGAGCTAGAAAACATCTAAGAGCAATGTAGAATAAGATAAAGATTTTTCAAGTGCTCACATCCATCATTCTGTCAAGATGGCAACATACCAGGGGAGAAGTTCCATCTGCTTCCCAATAATACTGGAGTGAATGAAACAAGCTAAATATCCAAGAAAAATGTGTATTAAGGCAGTCAAATCATACTTGCTTTAAAAAACAAAACAAAAAAATCCTCCCTCGAGAATATAGTAGCACCATCTGAAAATGGAAGGTTGTCTTGGAAAGTTGTAGATTCAGTGAGCTGGACAAACATAACTGGTAATATTAAAGGACAGATAAGCAGGCATGATAGAGGCAAGGAACATCAGGACAACTATCAGACAGTGGCAAGTAAAATTACTGACATATTTTTGAGAAAATAAAAAGTTCCTCATAATCTACACAACCTGCTCTAATAGTCATACCTTCATGCACTAGGTTGATACTAATGACAGTGATCATCAAAGACAGAGTTCAATGATGTTAGTATTGGTGTGTTATTCCAGACTGTATTCTAGAGAGTGGGCTTGCAATGCATTTCTGCAATTGCTGCAGTAATGGAATTTCAGTCATGACACCTCATTTAGCTAACT